TGTTTGATTTATTTGGCCTGCCAATCGAATCCATGTATTTTAGAAGTCCTATTTCGTTTAATATCTTATTCTTCTTTATCACTCTTCAAGATTTTACCTTTGGTATCTTGGGCTTATCTCATTCTTCATAATTCTTTTTATTTTGGCAATGCCATTTTATAAATCAAACGTAATCAAGCAATTTTATGGCTAAATATTTTTACATTTTGACTGTTTTACTTCTTTTCTATGTCTAAATATTTCTCATTCATAGTTTTTGTGATAATGCTCGTGTATAAACTCTACTCTATTGCAAATTAAACTATTTTTCAATAAGTCTCCTTTTTTAAATTTATTTTCGCACTCCGATTGCGTTTCAATGCATTCATTTTTCCTATTTATTATAAGTTTGATTTAAGTTACATTTTATAATCTGATTCACTATTATCAGTGAACAGACCACACACATTTATGCTTTAGTGGCAATTTTAATAAACTCTGCATGTAAGGAGAGTGGACACTTCTATTGAGACAAGTCCTATCTTTATTCACTCTATTTTGACTAAAAAGCTCTAAAAATGCATAGCAGTCTATAATAGATCCTTTAAGCATTCAGATCTTCCAAAGGCCTATTTCCTAAAATGGCCGAAAGGGCCAAGTTTAAAAATGATTGTGAGCGTCCACACTTGCGTCAAAAGCCAATATTTCTTATTAATATTAGAGTACCTTTAATTTCGTTTTGAGAGGCGAGTGGAAGAAATTCGTAGGCTCGACTCATCGGAAGCTGTAGAGGGATTGGCTTGGAGTTGTAACTAGATTTATGCGAATAGGTCCTCGGCGCACCGCCCTGCGATCCCGACGACTCTTTATTGAGCCTTCGTTCACCATGTGATAAAAATAATCAGAGCAACACATCGTGTCTCTTCAAACGAAATTGAATGTATTTCAATATCAATATATTAAGGGATTATTCGAAAGCCTTTTCTTCTACATTTATCATTAATGATTGTTCACTTTGTTGTAAAATGAAGATTAGTTTTCAAAGCAAACAGCACTAGATGCGCTTTCTTTTTTTGGGTATTTTTAATGTCGTCCATCTGCATTATTTCTCGCATAGATAGGTGACAGTTGTCAAATGCCTTACTCAAAGGATGCATTTATGCTCGTTTTCTCATTAATTTGTATTATTTTAAATGACTCACGACTAAAAAAATGCTCGCTATTTCATTTTTTCCACCTGCTCTCATTACTGATTAATTTTCATACGGATCTTCCGTCCGGATAAAGACTTCTCCCAAAATATTATTTGCTATTTTAGTGTTAACTTCTTTACTGTGGGTATTTCTACTGGCTTCCTGCACCGTTGGCCTGATAGGCCGACAATAGACTTAGATAGGCTTTTCAGGTCATATTTGCATATTGAACCCATCCATTGTTACCTTAATTTTAGCTCAGGGTAGCGAGGCTAAATGACAATAGGATTTTAGTCTGTTCGCATTTATAATAAATGTGTATTGAGAGATCCGAACGCACTAGGATATGTTGGCCTGCTTGTTACTCCCAGTATGCCGTCAATCGAATCCCGCTAATCCCTCTTGCCGAGTCCCTTCTAAGACAGACGAGATTCTCTCATGAATTTCTCATTTTAGTTATAATGGCATTTCTTGCCTTTCGATAGAATGGTATTTCCACTCTCAGAAATGTAACGAAGCCTGCTTATATGGTCGGAACTTAGATGTAATCCCGTCTGTTTATGCTAAGATCATAAGGCTTATATATATTTCTGGTTAAGCCGATTTTTCAGAGAAGTAGGGCTGACGAGCCCGTTGTCAAATTCAAGCCTCGATTAAGCGGCAACCGATTATCTATCAGACTTCGAAAACCACTATTTCACTTTACTTTGTCGCATCTGCGAATTTTATCCTCTCTTGGCAACTCTGAACACGGCTCATACCGTCTCGAATTCTTTCGATCTTTAGAAGTTTACTCACAACGTTTCTTTCGTACTTCTCTCTTAGCCCTTACCTGACTTCTCTTCTCGTCAACCATTGCGGTCTCCATACTAGAAAATAATGAATATTTTTATAAACGTGTTCTTGTTTGCTCCTTTTTGAATTACAAATCTATATCTTCTCCATTTTTGATGGTTACTTAGTCGACAAGTAATACTGTAGGCGAGAGAGCATTTCCGGGTGGCGCTACGATTGGCGCTGCGACTGGCACTGCGGCCACAGGTGAGCGTCGTCGCAAGGAGAGCATCATTGACTTGACGCGGTACATTGACAAACGAGTTAGAGTTAAATTTTCAGGTGGCCGTGAGGCCTCAGGTACCCTGAAGGGCTGTGACAACCTCTACAATATGGTACTCGATTGTACGATTGAGCACCTACGAGATCCGGATGACCCGAGCCGACTCACAGATGACACCCGGGAGTTGGGACTTGTCGTTTGCAGGTAACTTTCATTTATTCCCTAGGTTTTTTTTGCCTTAGATTTAGATCTAGATTTTAGAATTTGTGGCTAACGGACCGTTGGAGTCTTGTTGGATTTCGCCCTGTTGTCAATAGTTGTATCTCTAGTGTTTGATAGCCGAGTTAATGCTTTCTACCCTCTGACAGAGATCGCTTATTTTTATATAGTTTGCGATAGAAATTTTTTTATACATTAATATTGTTCATCTGTATAGATGTAAACACTTCATCGGCATTGGATTCATCCACGAGCTAAATCCCTTAGATGCCGATTTGACGATACGGTCATTTGATCACCTTGGTTGTTTTACGCTAAGTGAGCATGATCCCCTTTTCGTTGAGGTCCACTCGACGGTGCCATGATGGAGATGAAGATTTGAGGCACTAAAAAGCGCTGCACGATGATTGCCATTCTGTAATCTGATGTTTGACGCGCTGATGAGCACCGTCAATGTAAGGGCGATAGAAGCATGAAAAAATTAGTCCGACCAGGCTCTATTTCTCCCAAATACGGTGAGATGTAGGCTCATCCTTGATTGGTATCGGTCGGCTTGTTCGGTTCTGTGTGAGGAGATGGAGTCAGGTGGATCAAATGGCAGGATCATATCCGATTGTTGAGGACGTCGGTTGGCAATGAGAGTGGAAATTTGATCATGACGACTGAGGTGTGCTTGGATCGTTTGTGATATGCAATGTGAAATGGTACCTTGGCTCTAAAGTTTCAAGTTTAGTTGACGATGATAAGGAAAACAACCTCAGGTGCAAGTTTAAGAGTTAGTTTCTGGATCGAGTAGTGGGATGTAGTGGGAAATAAATGAAGTCATTACAATGTAAATTTGGCTATCATGAATTCTTATCTTATTGACTTCCATCCATGCTTTGCAAATTTCTTCCATTTTATTCTACCTTCTATTAAATAACATTTTTTTTCTCGATCATGAATCTCAGACGAAGCTACATTTATGACCGAACCATCTTTTGCTCAATTAGTATTAGATCCTCATTATATAGTTTGGTTTCGAGGTTATTAGTAGCTATTGAACTTTCCCACAATCTTAGGAGTGTGGTACGATGCCATTTTATTTTAGTTAGTCTTGCCTCCAAAAAGCTGTTATTATCCAAGATGGACTTTTGCTTAAGCCTCGTCTGGGTCTAATCAGCATCCCTAACGGAAATGTAATTTGGGTAAGTTAGTGTTTATTTTAGATGTGTCTTCACTGGACTAAACTGTCTTGAGGGGGGGGTTACAGGGCAAAGATGACTTCCAAGGCAAAGCAGATCTTCTATATCCTATTTTGGTAATGGAATTTTCGATAAAGCAAGTTTATATTTGCCATTTCAGTCGACTAATTTATTCATACTTGTGCTGAGTATGCTTAGATGCTACCATTAGATCTTAAAGCAGAAATATATTCGCTGTCGCAGATAAATACTGTCGCACTACCCTGGTTCGATTACCTTTGGGGGTGTTGATGAGACTCAAGCCAGGTTGAGATTGCAATACATCCTGAATGAGAATTCCTTTTGAAAGGTAAGGCTTAGTGAAATTCATCGGCGTCTTGAAACCTTATCATATAATTGTGGGAAAATTTAAATATCAGTCCTTCATCACCTTATGCAATCTAGGGTGACTGCAGCTCTTATTCTACTTTTTATTGGGAATCAATGCAGTTAGCATATATCTGATTCGACCTTAACTAGCCTCTGTTCTCAAAATTAGCTTCAGATCAAGTCTGAACGAAAGATATAATTTATAACCATATCATTTCATAGTTTTCAGTTTAGTTGAGCTGTCTTGTCATGGACATATTTCTCTTTCCTGATAGGTGTATTTTATATTAGTCATATTGCTTTATCCATATTTTAACTTCTTTAGTTATTCTAGCTTTTTTCGTTTCAGAGGTCCTTCAATAGAACTAATTTGTCCTGCCGACGGCATGGAGGTGATTGCCAATCCCTTTACTCAGAATGATTAGCTTCAACTGACTGTCCGATGTGATTTTTGGCATCCTCATCATGGCATACTTTTATACAAATTCATATTAAATATATGTATACTTTTAAGCATGTATGTTATGCTCTCCTAATTTCGGATTGCTTTCATCTTTCTTGGTATGATCAACAAAACACTTCCAAGCTGTCAACAAAATGAAACTTGATTCGTGAAGTCCGCGTTTACAAGATGTATTATCTAAAACGAACATCCTGTCGTTATCGTTTATTTTGCTCATTGCAAAGCCACCAAATTTGAATATAATCTTTTTCCCCTCGAAGC